GCCTCTGGTGCTTTCTTTGATGTCAGCAGGAAAACAAGCCAGGGTCTGGTGTGTTACTGCAATGTTCACTCTTGTTATCAAAAGATTGTAGCCTGATGCACACTCAAGCACTCTGATAGAACCCTTAAACTCTGCGAAAAACACGGCTGTATGTCTGAACATGCCAGCTTTTCTTTTTTAATGATTCCAGAAACACTTCACTAACAAGTGTAAAACATAGACTTCAAAGTACTTGTTGTTTCTTGTTATTCCTCAAGCACATTTTTCACAAATGCACCACTTTCCTGTTATTTTCTGCAATGCAGTTATCCAGGATGGATACAAAGGGAAATGGGACTGATAGATAAGGACTTCTTTTCTCCTCAAATCTGGCTCTGTTCCACTAGCAAGTATGTGATTTCAGAGGAAACAGAATTGAATCACCCTGAGTGTGGTGGTGCCTGATTGACAAACTGTTTGAATTACCTCTGCAGACACCCTACATCAACATAGGTTAGCATGGGGTATTACACCTCAGCATCACGATGGGTTTCCTCATGTGTTTAATAAGACTTGATGGATGTTCAGAAGCACAGCGCTTGAATAAATCATGACTCCTTTGGTACTCTCAATGGGTAAATCAGAAAAAGCATGGCTTATCATTTATTTATGTATTCTTGTTTCTTCTGCAATAAGCATCATATTGCAGCCTGCAAAGTATAATTCATGTAAATACTTTACAAAGTTGTCGGTAGCTTCATTTCCATTGTTGTATGATCATTTTTTATATGGTGATTATAGTTTGTATAAAGTCTGAAGCAACTCAAGCTTTTAAATAAAACAAGTGACAAGAGAAAGAAAATGTCAGATTTAAATTCATAAACAAAGTCTGGGCATTATCCACACAAGGTAACACCAAACCAAAGTATCATACAAAGAAAAGAAACATTTAAATTGTACAACTTCCTCTAAATGATTCAATAACATTTGTGATTTAAACCCTTAAAGCTTGAAATATAAAATAATTGCCATAAAATTCTAGTTATTGAACCACCTGACAAATTAGTTAAAAATAATAATTCAATTTTATTTTCCATATTTGTATCGTGTTTGCTACATCTGGCTTTTTTGTAACAATTGCTTAAAAATGTATTGTGCAATTTATTTCGATTTTTAATGGGGGAAAAAATCACAGCAATGATGCAGATGCACAACAAAAAAACTGTATGTGTCAAATATGATACACTAGGCGTTAAGGGGTTATTCAGTTAAATATATTAGAAACACTTCATGTGCTGAGCTCTTTTTGCTTTTTTGATCCACACCCTGCTGAGAAGACATCCAGGAAAAGGTGAGTACTGCTAATATTAACCATATGCCTGCAAATAATCATAAAGTCTGCACAGTTCTGATCAGGTGTGACGAGCAGTCCCCCCTCTGCTTCTTCACCTTTAACAAGCTGTCATTTAAACAATACTCCCAAAATATCAGACTCAATAAACCCAATGAAGAAAACAAGTTAGCTTTTATTTTCTTCAGCTTTTTAATGTCAATTCTCAATAAACTAATAAAAATATAGATAAAAAAGAGTGGTACCAATGTTCTCATCAGACTCACAGAAGCAAGTGCTTCATTCTTATATACATATTTATTTCATTTAATTATGCACTTATTCCTATTTGAAAGCCTTGAAATGAAGCATACCAAACAGAATATAGTATTCCTGAAAAGTTTTTCATTAAAGTTGTAATTTATTCCAAGCACTTTTTTTATCAGCACATCTTAAAGAACCAGCTTTAAAAAGACTTTGAGCCGAGCCAGTGTGCTGTGCTCAGAGTCTCATGCTCACCTGTTGCTGCAATATTGGAGTGAAAATGACTTCCAAACAAATTCCTGCTCCACACCAGTGTGGAACAATATAGCTCTAATACTGAAGGAGTCACAAAGTGATGGCTTTTTATGACTCTGACATTTTCACACCTTCACAAGGCATTGCTTTCATTATAGTTGGGTTTGTTCATTGAATTCTATTATTTTTTGACATTTTTCCAGTTTTAAACCCTTGAAACATACCAATAGAAGCTTTTCCCAAAATGTCACTTAGAGCGAACAATATTATACAAGCTCATTTCAAAAGACTAGGTTTACTATATAGACTTACACCCAGATCCTGCACACTTGATATTATAACGCTGCATTAAAACCAGATGATATCCAGCCCCGTGTCAATGTGTCACATCAAACAGACGTGGAATAATACAGCTCTGAAAGTTCACCTGCCAGGGGGACGATCAGGGTGCAAAAAAATGTGTCTTTTATTCCTCTTTTTGCAATCCACGTGTCATTTGTTATAATAAATAGCATGGCATTACATCAATTTCCTAATAGCTACAAAGACACACTTGTGCTCTGATACAGAGCATAATAAAACAGGGTGCATCAAAAGGCTGTTTGAGGCCAGGAGGTGGACAAAACTCATCATAACAAGGGTAATTGCTGCTGTTGCTGGGGCAGAAATTTCGGGGGAGGTTAACTCTCCTGTTGCTATAGCTGCTTTTGAAATTTATGAAATTGCGTCAGTGTAAATCAAAAGGGAGGTGGGCACACGCAGGAGCCCCTAACTTCCATCACAAGATCATGTGCTCTCAGCATCGAAATCATCCCATCTGCCACATTTGCACTGACACATTTATAGAAATCTATGCGGGCTGAGTGCATGTTAGCCACTCTCCTCCATCTCTTTGGCTTGAAGGTGATGACTAATGCCACTGGCAAGATAGCGAGTGAGCAACAGCGCGCAATTCTTTTCTGAAGGCACTTCTAGTCAGTGAAAGTGGGTGTGAGGATACATGCACAACTATACCACATTGTGTTCATGAACAATCCATTGTGCAGCATAGCAGTGGCTCTGTTTGGCTCAATGCCATTTTCATACTGAGCTACAAATACACCTATTGATGGAAAACATGGAATTACAGGCTGCTGGAAGAGGACACAGCCATCTGATTTTTCTCTCTGTCATTTTGAATTTCCTACTGTTTCTTTTCAACCTCAATGGGATTATTTTCCACCACTTTTTGTGGTCCCTTTGTGACCAATTTATTTACACTAACATTACGTTTACAGCGTTAACGTCGACATTTAATGGAGTCTGAGCAAAGCAGGACGTGAGCTTCGCAAAGGTTGGCACAGCAAGAGTTACAAGTATTGGCAGTTCTGTCTGAATCCTCCATTCACAGGAGTTAGAGTAGAGAAAATAACATATTTTTGCAAAAACATCACGCTGCCCTCTGCAGCCCCTGCAGATTCTCTCATTCTGGGTCAGCCTGACCTTGAGCCCCTGCTGGAGTGGACCCGGTGCTCTCTCTCTGTCTATCCATATTACTCTTCAAGCATCATTTCATCTAGTTGGCTGTTGAGAATTTGTTTGCTGATAAGTCCCTTCCTGAAATGACCCCCTCCTTCAACCCAGTAACCCGATGCTCCTTAGCCTTGGAGATTCACTCACCCTCATGTTACCTTATGCAGTAAAAACACTACTTTGATTTGTGTGTGCTTTCCCGTTCACTGGATCTGTGTGACAAAAGTCTTGCAATCAAAATCTGAAGTTCATTCTAAAGCTTGATAATCTGTGAATTCATTTAGGGCCCCTCCAGTGTTATTACACCGGTTTATGTAATTAAGTCCCTCCGGAGACTTTAACTGAAATTTAAATTCAAAATGCTGCTCTTAGGAGGTGAGACGCGCAGGAGCAGAAAAACACTCATTAGCGGTGCCACGCAGTTTTGTCATCAGGGCTATAACCACAGTCAAAGGTAATCTGTCAGTAGTGTTGACAGTAAATAGGCTGCCTTGAGATTTCATTATGAAGTGTGTGTGTAAGGAATTACCATTTAAATGAGATGTAATGACAGCTTTATCCCACTCTGCTGGGTTTTGGGGGTTTTTTTGTTTGTTTGTTTTTTGATACTGAATACAGCTACCAATACCTGGAACACCAGTTTGACCAGTTTGTTAGGTACACCTGTTCAACTTCCTCTTTGACACAAATACCTAATCAGCCAATCACATTGCAGCAACTCATTGAAGTTAGAAATATAAAGATGGTCTGCTGGAGTTCAAACTGAGCATCGGAATGAGGAAGAAAGGTGTTCAAGTGACTTTGAGTGTGGCATTTGTGAACGCACAATGGGTCAAACTCTGATTGCAGGGGAAACAGGAAACAGAGGCTAAAGTTTAGGCATGCTCACCAAAAACGTTTCCTGTTCTGATGGGGCTGGGTCACAGTTTGATTTAAACAGTATGAAAGGAAGAATCCATCCTGCCCCGGATCAAAGTTTTAGTGGTTTGGGAGAGAACTCCACAGCCCGCCTGATGCTGATCATGTCCATACCTTTATGACCACGGTGTGACGATCATCTGATGGCTGTTTCCAGGAAAATAACACACAATGTCAAAAAAGCTCAGATCATCACAAATCGGTTTCTTGAACTTGTACTGAACTCAAATAGCCTCTGCAGTCACCTTTGGGATGTGTTAGAATGGGGTATTCGCATCATGTCGAGATGGACCAAAACCTCTGAGGAGTGAATTTAGCTCTGAAGACAAGAGAGGGTGTACCTAATAAAGAGTCCACCAAGTATATATTATCATAATCATTTACTCTTTTACTTTTTTATATTACTTCATTACTTTGTTTCCTATGCCATCGAGGATCAAAACAATAAAGATGTTTTGTTACAGTTTCTGTTCATTTCAGCTGCAGTTTGGCTGAATAAATCTCATCAAAACTAACATTTTACTTCTGATGTTTCACTACTGATAATTAGATGATGTTTCAAACCATTGAAGTGAGAAACTGAAAATGAAATCCACATTTCACTCACCCTTATATTTAGAGAATCGCAAGATCTCTTTAAAAGAAAAAAAAAGCTGCAATCAAGATGTCCTGTCTGATTTTACGGTGCAAAATGTGAGCCTTTGAAGACAAAAATCCATCACACACTGACAAATTCACACACACATTTTATTATTAGAGTAAAACAAACCCACCCACTGGGTGAGACAAGAGCTTTCACAGTAAGCACAGTAAACACAGTTTTCCAGTAGCAGGTAAGAGTTACAGTTACAGTAAGACAGGCTGCACACGGCAACAGCCAATTCACAGTGAGAGTCTCCAAAGCCAGCGTGGAGACAAATGCCTCAAAAAAAAAAAGTCACACAGTCACCAAGGTACAGCAGAATAACATTTGGAGATGCATGAATAATGACATTCAAGCACACACAAAGAGAAGATCAGTACTAAGTCTGCAAATCCTTTGTCTTTGCCAGTGAAGGCGTGCAGTCTGTCCTCGGTGATTGCATGAGAGGAGTAGCTCATCCTCCAAGTGTTACTAGAATGGTTTTTTGCATACTGTCTCATTAGTGCATATCTGCCCTCAGCCGTGTGTGCTATTCTTTAATGGTGCAGCTGGCTTGACCTTTAGAATGTGTTAAATGTGCTCACATGCTTTTTCTTCTCCGCCACAACATTGATAAACTTACAGTGCACAACACAAAACAGTGACAAATCTGCACTTTTCTGCTACCACGATGTAGTAATTTAAGACACATTAAGTACAACGCAGCTGTGTGATGAAGTTGGCTTTACATCAAACCTTTACACAGATACCATACTGATAAATCAAGAATAGTTTAAACAAAGTCAGATTTTTTTTTAAATGGCACATGTCAGCTGCAAGTTGCCTATTGTTCCTTTTTTCGTTCTCATTCTTTAAAAATATGACGACTACAGTTGATACATTAATTCCTCACAACAAACATAAACACGTCTCCAAACTTCACCGGTAATATCACCACTTGGTACATTAACGCAGTGTGTGTGTGGCATAGAAATTCCTCCTCTTGTCACGTGTTGATGTGAACAGCGGGTGCTTTCCGAGGAGGGAAAGAAAAAAGAGAGACATCTGTACTGGCAGATGGCTCGTTGCTGGGGGTGGCAGTTAGCAGTGGTCGGGGTGGCCAGATAGCTGTCAATCTCAGTGCACAGCCACGGTGACGGGCAGCATGTTTTGGAGCAGTTCCCGTGATGACTGCGAGCGGGATGGATGAGAGCTCTCTGGCGCAACCCTCAAACTCAAGCCTTCAGCCTGAGCAGGGGCGACTCTGAAGCCTCTGTGGGGTGGCCGAATAGCTACAATGAACTGCCTCTTGAATGTTTCGCTCAACACAATGTAGATGAAAGGGTTGATGCAGCTGTTGGCATAGCCCAGGCTGATGGCGATGTTGTAGACATACAGGAAAGCAAAGCTGGGCCGCTGTACTCCCAGGTGGGCCAGCTGGAGGATATAATAAGGGGCCCAGCATAAGAAGAAGGCCAGGCAAATGGCCACTGCCATGCGGGTCACCTTTCTTGTACGCACCCTGAGGCTGCGCTGGGGTAGTGGAGCAACTGTGGCTGACATATTTTGAAGAATCTTGAAGAAGACACTGCAGATGACCACTAAAGGAAGAGCAAAGCCCAAGAAGAACTGGTACAGGGTGAACCAGTATGTATCTGTGGCCGGGTTTGGGAGCAGGAGGGCGCAGCCGATCGAGCCGTCCTTGAGACCCATGAGTCCAGTGTACATCCAGACCGGAGTAATGGAGACCAGAGAAAACACCCACACCAGCGCCACTGCCGCCCCTGCCACGAAGGGGGTTCGAACGTGTTTGAAGCGGATGGGGTGGACTGTTGCCAAGTAGCGGTCCAGAGTCATGACAGTCAGAATGTACGTGCTGACGATCTGGCTGTTGGAATCAAGCGCTGTGATGACAGTGCACATGGTGCCACCGAAGCACCAGGAGCCATTGCCCACAAGCTGGTGAATGAGAAAAGGCATGCCAAGGAGAAAGAGGAGGTCTGCGATGGACAAGCTGAAGATAAATATGTCTGGCACTGATGGATGAGAGCAGAACTTGGTCTTCTTCACAATGGTGTAAATGAGAATGCAGTTCCCAGTGATCCCAAAGAAACAAATAACACCAAAGATGCTGGGCATGAGCACATTGTTGTACTGCTCATGATCTGGTAGAAAGGACAAAAACAGAATGTTCTCCATCAGCTTTCTTTCCTTATAACTTTTTTTCATTCATTTGTTTTCAAAGTCTCAATAACTACTTTTTGCATGAAAATGAACAACATAATATTTCATCTCTGGTGATAAATCTCTATGCATGTGCCCAATTCAACAGAAAAACGAGAAGAAGAAAAGCTTACCTTTTTCCAGATTGTCAGGTGAGCTGAGGTAGGAAGAAGATGAATTCATAATGTAGTCCTCCATCCAACCTCGAAGAATAATACGAATATGCTCTAAAATAACTTACATATCAGTTTAATGCAAAGAAGATAGATGAGCTTGAGAAAATACGCATATTTTAAATATACATATACATACAAAAATCCAGCTTAAACTGTTGCTTTATGGCTTTGATAGCAGAGGTTCAGCCGCGCGCGCATGTTTTTGTCGTCCAAGACACTTCAGCAGGCACGCGACAGATAAAACGCGCGCGCTCGCGTCAGCTCTGAGTCTGGTATTTGGCAACAGCGAGATAAAGTACTCCGCAACTCGGAGACCCTTAAAAAAATCATCATTCTTATTTCTAAGTTTGTGTCGTCACCCACTGAACAGCTGTGAGCTGTTCTTTCCGCCGCCAGTGTGAGTAATACTGGAAGTCATTCTTGAGTGAATACCTAATGGACGATATCCTCGCTTCATTCCACCTTATTTTCTTTTAAAAAGCGTTAGCCGTCCGACCAAATAGCTTTATCATTTACAATGCCGTTATGATGGAGGTCACACGATAGGTTATCTGTTATAAACAGTCTAATTAATTGTCCAACTGAACAGTGTCACTCTCCATATTGTTTGCTGTGTAATATTTGGAAAACATATGCACATTTCTTATCTCAACTGTGCGGTATTAACATACCAGTAGTTCTGGTAGCAACCTTTGCGTGGTTAAAGACAGAAAGAACCCATTTTTGTTTATTCCCACTAGGTGGCAGCATTGTCAAGGTTTTAATACCTCTGCTGTCAAAGACCAGGATTAAAAGCAGGTGTGCAAGAAATGAAAACAGGAAACCAGAAGACCAAATATTCCAGCAATTAACCAAGTAAAGCTTTATGAGATGGCGTTTATACATATCGTATTTTATGGCCGAAGCCATATGGATCCTTGAACATAATATTGAGAAATTTGCATTCCTGCGTTCTCTAATGTGTCCCACTTTAACCTAGTAGACTAATTTATTACACTGCAGCTAAAATGCATGAATCTGTGTTCTTAATTTCCCATTTCAGACTGAATCAGATGGACATAAATGCATCTAAGTGAGAAATGTGTTATGTATGTGGCTATAGTTAACAGTGATAGTAGTTAATTGTAGTTTGTAGGATAATGATAGATATGGGTGACAGTTTTGTGGCAAGGGGGAACGAACTAGGGTGTGGCGTTGGTAAATGTTTAGTTTACAGTGAACATGTTCACTTCTCTGCCTTTACATATTTGGCAGTCCTTTTGTCTTGTCAGATATGGTGTTGACAATCAGGTAGGCGGTTTAAAGTAAACTAGAAGATGACCAAGCTATAAGGTTAAGCCAGGACACACAGCTGAAAATCTCAATGAAAGTTTGTGAATGAATTAATGCATAGCCATCCTGCAGCTTGCCTGTGACTGAAAGAGAGACTCGAGACAACGTGAGACAACATCACAAGTTTTCAGGGCCATAAAGGTCATTCACTCATTGGAGCAGGTTATGTTCAAGATAACAGATCAACACTTACAAATCCAAAGCCTACTGACCAATCAGGTCTCTCAGAAGAGCCCACAGATCAATGAGTTGACAGTGAGATGGTCTCAAATTTCTAGCTTTCCATTAAGATCAATAATAAGGGACTTTATCGCTTGTTTTATTTTTTTGCTGCCTGCAAGCTTTTTATAACCAATCAATTCTACATGAGAGTCCTAAAGTATTGCAGGCTTGTTGACCTTAAATGCCTTCTATTCACCACAATTATGATTTTTTGGCATCTCACGATCATTAGACACCACAAGATTTTAGCTCAAAGAATAAGGATAAACATATGACAAGACATGATGATGATGATAAATCTTTATCCTGTTTTGGGAGTATTCGTTTGTTACACAACTGAGATGGTGAATAAGAATATATTAATGATAATGATAATATTATCTGGTAGGTGCCTCTCTGTCAGATATATTGTGATAGCATGTGGCAGTGGAGCTGAATCAGTGTTAGAGAAGGTGGTCATCATTTTTGCTGCATACATTGAAGGATCTCAGCTTCAACAGGAAAGAGCCATCGGAAATGGAGACAGCAGAGTCTCCTGTAGAGCTACTATACTGTCACCAAATCAGACAAAGCTCTGCCTAATCTCACAAACTGCAGCCTGGCTATCAGGTAGTCACATGGATTCCTTGTGGACAAGTTTACTGACATTTCCTATAGCTTTTCTTTCAGTAGAAGCGGCTGAATCCATTAAGTCCGATCTGTTCACAGGTAGTGATGTTAGTGATAATACTGGCTTGCACAGTTGTCATCTTTTGCCAGCTTTCCTTTCTTTAATTGCAGCTGAGTTTCTTTTCATCTTGGATTACATATTTTATTTCCTCTTTTTCTCTCCGTGTTATAGTTTGTTCTTCTTTTGAGGATTATGAAAACAGTTTGGTTCTGCCCATGCTGTGGTGTCACTGCCTCTTGGATAACCTTTCAGAGTGCCATTTTCACGTGATTAGCTGGTGTAATTGCTGACGTTAGGTTTAGTTACGCCGGATTATTTAAAAGTTATCTTGGCTAAACTGATCTCAGTGCCTTAGTCACGTGGTACAAATAGGTGCTATTTAGCTGTTGATAATAAAAAAAAAAAGAAATTGAACGATTTAGAGTGAGTGAATCTTAACAACTAGTATGTCTCTGCGAAAATTAATTTTCCTTAACACTGAAAAAGACTAGCAGGGAGGAGCTTACGTACACGGAGGCAGATCCTCCCAGTTCTTTGGAAGGAAGCGGAAATGAGCGTCATAAACCTTATGCTAGTGGCTAGTTTTTTAGGCTTCTAGGACGGGTGTAAGCGACACCACACGTACCTTGCTGGTTGCCTCTAGAGGAAGCAGGGAGTGGATAATTACACGACAGAGTTTTGCTGGTTTTTTTATACAGTGACACTATCGAAACGGAATATCTATAGTGGTGAGTTTTCAGTACGTGTTTTGTCAACTCAAAAGTTGTGTACTGTTTTATTTCATGACGCTGTTTTAGTGAAGTTCAGTAACGTTAGCTGGGCTAGCAGTAGCAATAACAGCTTGCGCTATGTTTAAAAAAAAAAAAAGATGTTTTCTTCCTTTCCACATATGCTAGCGTTAAACTAGCGACTAGGCCTCGGGTGCTAAGAAACACCCCACACTTATTTCAGACCAACCACGAGCTTTAAGTGATGTCGATGTCAGATGGTCCGGTGCGGAAGAATTGAGGTTCGGGTTTGATAACCATACTGCATCGCAGTTATTGTTGTCCGACCGTTAGCCGGTATGCTAGCTGTAGCGTTCTAGAACAGTGGGCGCAGTCTGTTGGCTGGAACGGAATCGATTCACTCGAGCGCGACTAAAAGAAAAAAAAAGAGGTATAAAACCATACTCTGTTGCTCTCCATGCCCTTTTGAAATGAAAAAAAAAATTCCATATAATTTTCACAATAATATGGCCGTGTGAGAAGGTTGTCATGTTTAAGGTTAGCTACAGTCTGCCTTTGGACTTCAAGCTTCCCTTTTTAATACTAAGCCTAATGCCACCTCTGACAGCGACGATCCCTTTTGTTCTTTTGTTTTCGGTAACGCTGACTAGCGATGAGTTGTTTGGCGTTTTGTTATTGTAAAAGACACAAACGAAAGCGAATGTAGTAACGTTTTGGACTTGATGATGCCGGTGACGGCAACTCGTTTTCTCTAGAAAAATATGTCATGTGTCGTTTGTTATTGCCTAATAGTTCTCAAAAATAAAAAGGAAATACAGATTTTCAAAAGAGGAAAAATGATTTCTCATCCGTTTGGTGTTCCTCTGTGGTCATCTGGTGGACTGTCAGGTTTAAAGGCCTTATTAGACGCACGGTTGTATTAGCGAAAGCCCATCAGGGCTGTACGGTAGCATATTAGCAGCAAACTAATTACATAGCTTAACTTTATCTGTTTAACTAAATAGCCGTAGGTTTAGCCAGCGTATCACTGTCATCTCTACTTAACTAACCACCGTCTTATCTTTGATCGGGCCAGGTGGTTGGTTGTCTGGAAGGTCTGTTGAAATTGACACTCGATAGAGTGAACTTTGTTCCCTTATCCTCTGATAATTTCTGGTTAGAGCTTTGCCACTGGTCATGAAATTGTGCTGTGTTTTGGAGGCTGTTCAGAAGTCAAATGGGAATAAAGTTGAATCGTATGTCCAGTATGCATTTTTAGTGAAAATTTAAAGACTAAAAATGCAATATAGACTTTTAATTTTGCTTCGTGGGTTAACATTTGCCTGTTTAGTTATATTTGTTCACGTTGGGGTTTTTTGGTTTGTTTGTTTTTTTGCAGGTACCTTTCTGCCACCTTTATGTGAGGTCTCAAACCTAAGGGAACGGGTCATTGACTGGAGGAGAGACGCAGAGAAAGTATTTGATCACAGAAGCCTGGATACATTTTTTAGTTTTTTTTTTTTTTCTCTTCAGTCACTGAAACGGCTGCAGATAAGCAGTTTTACAGCACGCTATAAGGACCATGGAGGCCATTGCCAAATACGATTTCAAAGCTACTGCTGATGATGAGCTTAGTTTCAAACGTGGAGATGTCCTCAAGGTCAGTGACAAGTATTTGAGCATTAAATGTTAATATTTGTCTGTTTTGCTCATAATTATGCAACTCTGTAAGGTGTATTCTTGCCCTAAGGTTTTGTTTTTATCCATTACTGGCACTGTTGAGTAAAAGTGCCAATAAAGCGAAATCTCGGCAGTAGTGGGCTATTATAGAAGGAAACAAAATCTAACACATCAGGTAGTTTGGGATGTAGCTCAATATCCAAAGTTCACCACTATCATGTGATTATATGCTTGGTATTTACATTTGATGGCATAACCTTTATGGTTAAATGTTTCTGCTATTTTTAAAATCATGAATTATTCAATTAAATGTATTTCTATAGCACCAAATCACAGCAACAGTTGCTTTAAGGCACTTTATATTGTAGGGTTAGAGCCCTCTAATGGTAGAGAAAACGCCTACAAAGAGACAATTATTGTAAATGGACATCATCAATGTGACTTTTGAGAAGTCACAATAAGAGATAAAAGCTGTAAAGGTTTCTTTTATGGAACTAGTAATATAAACCTGTTGTCAAGTCTTCCTCATCACAGTAAATTGCTTTTGTGGGCAAGGTCTGCTTTGCTTTGTGATATAGGTGGAATGAAATTAGGGGCAATAACATGCAACATGCCAAAATTTGTAGTTTATTATTGGGGGTGGGGGTTGTTTTTGTTTGAGTTTTTTTTTTTTTTTTCTTTTTTTATCATTTAGTTTTTCTTTGCAGTCAGCTTTGGCAGACAAGTTGACGGTTCTGGCAGGGGAATGGGTGCCGTTTTCCCTGAAAAAGAGATTTGAGCAGAGTCTTGAAAAGACTTCTTATCACAGCAGGAGGGGAGAGGCCTAGAGGGAGAGAGAAAGTCAGATTAGGAAACACTGAGCTAAATATAAGTTCTATTAAATTTGCATATGAGACGAGGAATTATTCAATTTTTTCACTAATTTCTACTGCCAGCTGTCTTGTCAAGAAATCTCAAGCTTTTCACCAGATGGATGAGTTCCATCCAAGAAATTAATAGGAAATGGGTTTTTTTCTTTCAGTTTACACAATTAAATATTAAATACATGCATTAGTGACTGGGAAAGTCACGTACTTCTGTAAAAGACACTTAGAAAAATCGAACACATATGGCAACATTTTATTTTGGGGTTTTTGTTTTCGCTTCTTCCTTTTTCTGTTGTAATTTTCGAACCTTAGATTTTACTTTTCCATTCCTCATAATGCATAAAATATGTTATTTAGTCTTTGAAGAATATAAAATGTCTGACTTTCGTGCCCACCAGGTATGCAGGTTTGAAATTTAAAGAAAACTATTCATGTTCTCATTCATTGTTCCACACTAGTTGATGACCATGGGGTACTATACTGTAAGTGCACAGCTATAAAGGCTACAGAAATAAACGTAATACAGTTTGTCACAACAGAAAAGGACTGTAAAACGGGGAAAGAAAGTCAGGATGAATGTTGCCCCGAGCAGTGTCCATATTTCATCTGAATCATTTCTTGGCTGCTTTGCCCATAGGACCAATTGTTAATTTTTGTGGAATTGAATGAAAGAATTGGCATGATTTGTAGAATCCCCCCCCCCCCCCTCAGTTTCTTTCATCCTCTTTTATCCAGTTTTTTTCCTCTTTTGTGACTCACCTCAGTAGTTGTGCATTAGTCTAAGCTTTAAATGTTTCCCCCTCAGGAAACTTGCGATAAAGGGGAACATACTCCTGTCATTCACTGAGTTACCCTCGCGCACACACGGAGGCAAGCTCCACTTTGATGTCTTACTTGCTTTGTTGAGCTTTAGTGAGCCCAGAATCTCAAAATGAGATTGACTACTGAAATGAGATTAATTGGCATTACCTTTGGGAATTTAAGTAATGATTGTGTATAATCTTAAGTTATGTGACCTGTGGAGGAGCATGTCACTGAGCACATTTCTTTATTTCAGTGTGGACTGTGCTGAGTAAACTCTTTTGAAAGCGCTTTTTAAATGTTACATGGTTGTTTTGGAATGCTGTCCTCATCAAGATCGTTCCCATTAATTTGCCTAGTTTTCATTTGGAAAATATCTGATGCTTGTGTAACTTGGGCTGCAGTTGCTGCAAGCTCTTTTGTCAAACAAATTTAGCCAAATATACTAGCAGAATTTAGCTTAAGTGTCATGGTGAGCTGACATACTTACTACAGAAATTTGACAGAGCCACAACAGAACTGAGAAAAGAGCCTCAGAGAATCTGCACTGATTGCACTGCTGGAGCTCAACAAGACCTCCCTCTCTTACTGTGTCACAGTGTGAGAGGTGGGTGATCCGGTGCTTCATGTAGTGTTTGAACTTTTTTTTTTTTTTTTCTCAACTGAGAACTGCCTTCTTGTTTACTTGACCTCACCACAGTCATCTCTGTAGCAGGGTTCTGGCTTCTTATGATGGGGGGATTTTTCAGGGTTGGGTTGTCTCATCGCTTTTGTCCTCACAATCTCTGCTGTAGTGTGAAAATAACTTCATCGTGCACTGTACCGCTTACTGAGATTTTTCAGAGTGATGGATGAGCCTCTCAATTGTCCAGGACCTGATGAGAGATTTACCACCTTCACGCAGTCCATGTTGCTGCCTTGTCCTGGCCCTTGAAAGTTGGAATTTGAATGCCGCAGTCCTGGATGTTATCCAGTGGCAGGATGTTACCAACTGAGCATTTTAAAGGCTTTGTCTACTCATCCATCTTTATGCTGGTCCCTTGGATTTAGAGTGTCTGCAGCCTGAACTAACCTCTGTCACAAAAAGGTGATTAGGTCGTCATACTGGTCTCTAGCTGTAATACTTTTGGCTTTTCACCCCATCCTCTTCTGTGTGTACCATGTGGGTGTTTTTAGGCAACAGAATTCCAATAGTCAGCTGAATGTTTTCCAAGGCCTCTCCTGATAAGGAAGAGGCCTTGTCCTGCCACTGATTAACTCATTGAATTGTAGAGGCCGTCATCTTTGGCTTCTAGGTGTGGAGGCCACACCCCAGTCCATGTTTGGCCGAGTGTCAATTCAGGATATTTGTGTAGCACTCAGCAGGGTCACACTGGACACATTTTTGTGCTTTCACAGGCTTGATGTGGAGCAGCTGTCACACTGGACTGTGCAAATCCGGTTCATCAGCTCCAGCCTTAAAGCCTTGCTCCGGGTCAGTCTAACAGAAGTCTAATGGTAGTGGTCTCAGCTTGTGTCCTCAAATCTTTTTTTGTTGTCTACAATCTCTTTTAGTCCAAGAATCCAGTATTAGATTTAATCTTTCCACTCAAGAGCCTGCTGGACATTAACGATGTAACTATGTGGCTGCCGTTGATAACTGTCAGTTAAGCCTGTACTCGTGATTGAGCTAGTAATTAGTCTTAAAAAAAATTTCTGTTTTTGTTTTATGCAAGTGGCACAATGTTAAACCTGTAAGAGCAGGATGTTGTGCATATTGTCATTGTCTTTTAAGTGTAGGATAGTCCCAAGTCCTTGAAGATCAGCCTTTGCAGTCATAACTGACCAACCAGCCTTATGTCAGTCTGTAAACTATCTACTGTTTTGCATTAGCTACAGTCATTTTAGTGAAATGAAGATGCGCAAGTTGGTCTGTCTCTTTCTGACTACCTCACTCTGTTTGACTCAAGGCTGAGAGTAAAGATCAGTTTGATTACATAAGTTATTTAAACATTAATACCAAATTCCCGTCTTAATTGGTAACATTACGGTAAAAAAAGAAAGAGGGAGAGAGAAGGTCTAAACTGTTAAACACATTGATTTGCCTGATGCAACACAGCATACTTCATACATATAAAGAGAGCCTTTCTGAGGTGGACTATATTAGTTGGGGCTCCATTGCTTCCATCACCAGTGCTATCTGGCTGCTGATACTAATACTAAACAGCTTTGCTCTAAGGACAAAGGGTCCCACTCATGAGAGAGCAGCCCTGTGTTAAGGCTTTGCTTGTATGTAGCATCCTTAACTTTACACCATTTTCAGTATCACTCGGAGATGGTGGCCTCACGTTGGCGTTTTTAAACAGCGTCTCATCTAAGGAAACATTCTTAACCACAAATGTCAAAATAATCATCTAGTGGTGTATGAGCTCTGGGTGCAGTACCAGATATACTTGGAATAAAAATCAGTAGTCTTTTACTGAATTGCCTGTTTGACTTAATGTTACTGGTAAATTCTAGTACTAGCTGCTATAACATTAATACACACCTAATATGATGGTGTTGCAGAGATGGTTTGCCTGTATTTTTACATTGTGGCCCTTTGGAAAACGAGTCTCAAAATCAGTTTTTGAATAAAACGACTTTTATCTTTATCAAATCAGCTTCAAAATATTTCCCAGCTTTTGTCCAGGCAGCATTTAGCCCAGTGTTGGGAATTGTTCCACTGGTTTTAAACGCACCTTTGGTGTGCAGGGCTAGTTTCAGTTGGTACAGTGTTTTGGTTTTTTTTTGTTTTTGTTGTTGTTGTTTTGTTTTTTTTTGGGGGGGGGGGGATCCTATTGGTATTAGAATTGCATTTGGATCATAAGATGCTTTGGCCTGAACACCCACCACATGTGCTGACTTTTTAACTCAATTGGCACAATGGCTAATTTTCAAATCAGTATGTCAAATTAAAGTTTTCTAACTAGATGAAAGTTGTGATGAATGATGCCATACTACAGCAAAAAGAAGCTTATTCAGTTTTGTGTGTTGATGCAAATTTATTAGGAATGATTATTTTTCACTAGTGTGGTTTACTGTGGTTAGTCATACTACTTTGTTTTTTAATGCATAAACTGGCTGGCCCCTTGTTAGGCTATTTCTGTTTGCATTCTTGATACTGTTACAGCAACCCATTTAAGAATATCAATCACATTAAAAGGAGTCTTATCTTGTCCACTGTCACAAAGATATTTAGAAGTCATATTCTATTACTGTCAGCCAACTAGCGAGCACTGTGTTTAGCCCATCTGGTTCCCTATTCGGCTTCCGAGTAATTTGCAGCATGGAG